TGGTTCCGTTTTCGTAAATAAATTAACAGTTAACACTGAATGATTTTGTCGGCTTGTAACAGCTATAAAATATCACATGTGATAGATGGATCATGAGTTGTCGAGCTAACCATAGGAGGGTTCCTTGGTTTTTATCCATACGTAACGCAAATGCGGATTAGTGCCATCAAAAATCCTCACGAAATTGAAATTATTCCTACAAGTATACAATAGTACTTTAGTCTTCTGGGAATGGATTAAAATTACAACGCTAGGAACGGGCATTAATATAATATCAAATCTGATGCCTATTAAAAAAAAAGTCAAACATCCATTTGCATATTTGTTTAATTAAACTCCTTTTTAAGAATAAAATAAATAGTTTCAATAAAGTTGCTTTTAGTATAATTTGATAAATTGATTAAATGGATGCATGGCAACTTCACAAATGGGGTTATAAATGCGTGCGAAAATAATTAACGCAAAAAATAATTCAATTTTGGATGTTGGCATTCCCGCCATATATTTTTTTTCTTTTATCTAATAAAACAGTCACTTCATGAAAAAATAATTACATGTAAGAATAAATAAGATTAAGATAAAAAAAAATTACTCGACAAAAAGAAAAAGATAAGAGAAAGTATTATAATACAGAAAAAAAACCCATCTTAATATAGAGGAATAAACGAGAGTAATGGAGTAATTGAGATATTATCATGAGCTAAATCATTTATTTGAGTGCTGTTTTTATAACTAAATTCTTGAGATCGTTATCAGAAATACATTTTAGGAAGTATCGGAATAATTAAGAAACATATTGAAACACTTGTAAGCAAGTAGATTTTTATACGAATGTTTTCAACGATAGTAATAGTTGTTATAGAAAAAACAAACATATTTTTCAAAAATAAAACCTTAATAAATTGCTGTATTCCTATGGGAAATCAACGCAGAGGCAAACAAAAGTTTTTTGAACAATTTATTAAATATTTTTTATGTCATTTGACAGTTTTGTGTAATAATTTATTTATTGTAATTAAGTACTTGCAACTTGAGAAGAAGTGAGATGATTGTGCCTAATTATATGATTTTAATTAGATTTAATTGGATACCTGCAAGCGACGTCACGCGTGTGTGTGGAACGCGATTGACAAATGCGACGATTTACGATGACGTCACTTGTAGGCATCCATTAACAATATAATTTCCCGAGATGTAAATATCAGTCGAATGTAGCTATATTTTTTTTGCAAGCTTTAAACTGTGATAATATCGTATTCAATAATGAAACCTCGGTCAATCGTAATTAATAATGAATACTCGAGATCTTATCGTATTCGGTAATTTTCGTAATAGATTATACTTGAGACATTATTGTATTCGATACTTATCGTTGTTGATAATAATTGTGATACTATTGTTCTTGACAATTATCGAATGTTCGATAATTGTATTAAAAGATGATCTTCTCGATAAATCGAAATACTGCTTTTTAAAATATGATTCACGATGTTTCTATAAATCGATTAATTCTATTCGTTGGCTCTATGCATTGGGAACTTATGAAGAAGATGGCATTGAATTTCAATAAATTATCAAAATTAAAATTTAATCATTTTTAATTTTTTGATAGAAAAACAAATGAAATTTATAGCAGGCATTATATTACTGTATAGTAATTTCTGAGATGATATTAGTTTCGTGATGATTGCGATCATTACTACTCGCAAGAGATTACTGAAAGGGCATGTGATAATTTCCGGTCAACGTATTGATTAGAAAATAGATTTTCTCCAGATATGTTGCAAGTTATAATTTGTTACACAATCTTTACTGAAGGTTATTTTATGTGTAAAATATGGCATGCATGAATGGTGTAAGCTGAATATCGAAAATGCAATTAGGTTCATTGTTCTAATAAAGAGAAGGAAACATAATAATATGTAAAAGTTTTAGACTATTAAAAAAGAACATCAAAAGTTGATAAACTAAAGCAAATTAAAAATGATTAATTAATATATCATTTATTACTGATTGCTACGATTATCACTATTATTGTTATTATTACAATCACTTGCTACGAATGTTGTATAATCTACTTACGGTGACAACAAGGTCTCCAATAAGTTCCCACAGAGTTTCAAACAAAAAAGTTTGAGACATGGTTAAAAGTATTTTGAGTTTATTTGCATTATTAATATGCACAGAATTAGTACAACGGTGTTATTTCTCTTTTGGTTAAAAATCCGCATAGTTGTTGCTGTACCAATGTGGAAAAATACTTGCAGTATGTGAAGGGATACCAACTTGCGATACTTTTCATGTCCACGTATAGTTCTGAGTTTGGACAAGATAACTTTAAAGACTTCTTTAAAGATCTTGACACAGATATATTTCCTCATCAATAAAAAGAAACAGCTTTTTTTTATTTTTACTATTTGTCCTGGCCGGTAGCTTTACGTTATAAAGATTCAGCACAGCACGTTTTTACTGACTTATCCCATTAAAATAAGTTAAATGTGTTCTGTATCATTTGGCCATTTGGCATGGTGCTGTTGGTCGAGGCCAACTTATGATAGTCAAAATTCACCACAATCAATTGATTTTCTCTGCTAATTATCCCTTTCGAAGGTCCGTAAAAAACCTCCCCCCATAGTATCTATAATAAAACTGCACGAATTACTATATTATCAGTAGAGCTGTGGTTGTTTAGATTATAGAGAGTTCGCCTTCCAATGAGGTGAACCGAGTTTGAATCGCAGCAATGGCTGATCGATACGAATTCCGCACCCGACCGTTGTGCTGCCGTAAAATATCCTCAGTGGTAGATGGATCACGGGTTAGAGTTCTCTCGTCGTCAGGCTAACCGTGGGAGCTTTTCGTGATTTTTCTCTCCATGTAACGCATATGCGGGTTAGTTCCATCATGAAGTCAAATTTCTCCCAATATTTGATCCATGAGTTCCCTTGTCACTACGAGCTGAGCTGCTAGTCAACGTGTTAAGGACCGAAATTCTGAGACTAATTTCTCTTAACAAAATTCTTAGCATGGGAATCTATTTTCATTTCATGAAATTCATCTTACGAAGTATGATGAGTTTTAACTCCTCTTTATGGAGTTCACTAAAGTATCCCTCCTAAATTTCTTTTTCTAAAGATGCAGAGGGTGTCCTCAGCAGGGATTACTACTAAACTAAGTAATTACCACAAAGAAGGGAGCTTCTAGGATATCCTTTGCTCTTGCGGCTGTCGAACCTTGTCTTCACCCTTCGAAAATAACTTCAACTTTCACTCTTTTAGAGATCAGTGGGGAATGCACAAAATTTGAAGAAAAAAGTGTTTTGATTTGTTTCAGAAACAAAACACCTCATATATCAATGCTAATCAGTTAAATTAAGAGGAATTTAGAGTTACTTGAGTGATCAGTCATTTATAAATTCTTTTCATGGATGTGTAACACAAAGTATATGTCTTTGGGTCTTCCTCTTTTTCTTGTATCAAAGGGACCATTGTGAGGTAAGGAAGTTTGATGAATGTGCGTCACGTGATCTGATCGATAATGGAAGTGCCCACTAAAAGCTTTTTATTGGATCCATGTGTCAGTGAGCCCAATCAATATCAGTTCAATAGGAGTTACTCTCACCGCAATAAGCGGTTTCATTCTGAACAGGAAGTGGTCAACCCATCAACTACCGAGAGTGTAAAAAAATGTCATTTGATTCAGAGTTTTTAGATGGGAAATCTTCTAGAAATCCGAAGCTATTAACCTCCTTTCAGGTCCTAAAGAATTAGAAAAGTTATCAAAAGGGTCTTAACGGCTGTTATTAGGGAACATGTTCCGGCTGTTTACTATCTAAACAAAGTATCTGTTTCAAAGTTGCAGATAAAGTCATTTATTATAGTTATGTGGTCCTTATCTTGTTAGGCTAAGATGTAGAAAAAAAAAAGATTTTTCTTCTCTTTCAAATTAAAAAGCTTAATCGAAGAACATGCTAAGCAACATTTCAGCGAGCTTTAGAATATCGAAATATCAGGAAATTGTTCATTACATATCTTTTCCCATTAAATGTGCTAGAAAACTTGCCCAAGTCAGCATAATATTAATATCTAATGCAACTATGTAAAGCATTTAAGTATAATATAAATAGCTAATGCAAATATGTAAAGTATTTTACTACTTAAATGGTTGATGGCATCACAAAACTCGTTCAGCTTTTTTTAATGCATTTTTTCCCAATGCCCACCCGATTGACCCTTGTCATTCAGGTATCGGTAAGGCAAATTTCTTGGCCACTCCTTCAGGTTACCATATTAGGTGGGCCAACGTTGCTCCCACAGTAAGGACATATAGTACAGAGAATGAAAAGACATCCATGTCTTGTTCGGGATTCGAACCCAGGACCTTTTGATGAGAGGTCAGGTCCCTGACCTCAACACAGTCCAGTTGGCAGTTATTTTTAAAGTAAAGTCAGGACAGGAGTCAGGTCAGCTTGAAGAGAGCGCTAGCCCTTGATTGGTCAATTTGTGATTTAAACAGCATAACGTCATCGAACGCTCAGCTTGAATGACGACTGACGTCCGAATCAACTGCAGTTGGATTACAACGTAACGTTAACGACAGAAGCAATGGCTGACAACATCCAACAGAGCATTGAAATCAGTCAAGATTTCGAAGAAGATAGCTTCTTCTTCTTCCTCTTCATTTAGCTGAGCTATAATGTGTTTTTTGTTGGACAAAGTCATTATTTGTTCTCTAAAGCACTGGTCGACAATAGCAAAATCAATATAAATTTAAAATAAATATTTGTTTAAGTTATTAACGCATGCGCAATGCGAGATAATGTCTGCGTTGAACCTACTGCTCACGCTGAGCTACGGTACGTCAACTTCCCGCAGACGCCTAGAGAAGGCGCTTATCTTAAGAAACCAGGCCTTAAGTGTAAACAAGAGTACGAGTATATTGAACATTGAACAGTTCGATTACAGGAGAAAATTTCATTTTAACTCAATTACAACACAATCCGTTATTAGAGCTCGTCTTCACAGTGTTTGAAATAGAGAGGGAGTACGCAGTTTTGTATGACGAAAAGATAAAATCGAAAAATAAACTTAACAGTAAATTAAATTGTAACTCACCCGGAAGTGGGGGTCGCACAAGATGTCTCGAAGCTCTTGAATGTCCGGATCCATTTCGTCGGGCCAAGTTTCAATTTCTGCAAGCACCTAACGGAAAAAAATACAGGTAAAATTTTAAATCAGAACCCAAACTTTCACAACAATCTCTAATTATTTGAAAAATTACAGTCATGTGTTTCCCAAATGACTATTAATGCTAAAAAAATAAATAAATTGTATCATAGTGTTTGATAACACACATGCTTTGGAGTTTTCAAAAACAGTCAGTTTATTTCAGTAATTAGTCTCTAAGTAATTAGCAAAGGTTCGTGGTTTTGACAGTATCAAATTACGCAATCAAATTAAACTATACTACTTTAAATAATTTTAATGACGGAAGCCAATCTGACAGTGACATAGGTTAAAGATGATATCGAAAGACATAGAACAATAAATCATAATCTATAATAACAACAAAAAGAATTTGTCTGTGTATCTCTCTAATAACTCCAGAACCCTTTGTGCGAGTGTATTAAAATTTAGACAGACAGCGGGAACAAGGGACTCTAAAAACTTTTAATTTGCTCTTTCGCGAGAAGCTTGTCTAAAGCGAATTTTTTCTTATAGGATTAGCATTACGTATTGTTGCAATTTAAAATGCAGATGTTTTTTTCCCTTCTACATTTACTTAAAACATAACATCAGTGATGTTTGCTACCTCATATTTTCATTTTATCAAAAATGAGTTTTACTAGATATTTATTGAAATTTCATTAATAAGTATTTATCTTTGATTCATTATAAAAAATAAGCATAAGTAACAAGGATGGCATATGAGGACGAAATCAGCGCATTAGTATTTTGAAAAGTAACTACAACCATGCATTAGTTTTTGTTTATCGAAAATTTAATAAAATAAAAAGTTTTTATGATAAAGTGCCAGTTTATCGGAAAAATTACTTGATTAAGTTGCTTAACTTGACTTGACCTTGACTGTCCGTGGTGGGGTTGTGCTACATCATTTATCGTGTGCAATGATACTAAGTATAGTTAATGCATCTTTTCTTTAAATATTAATTTCCTTTAATCTAATAATGTAGATTTATCGAGAAAGACAACAACTCATATAATGACAATAAGCTGAAATTATTTTATGCTGTTCAATTGTGTCAGTATATGCCTATAAGTTTTATGCAAGATTGCTTGGTGAAATTAATACCGATTCATAATATTCTTTTTTTTTTTTAATTTTTTTTTAAAACTCTATACGTAAATTGAGAAGTCAGTTAGTAATTTTATTTTAATAATATCCAGTCATTCGTGCCTCAGGGAATTCCCAAGTCTCGAATGAAATTGTAAAAAATTAACAAAAATGCATCCTTACTTTGATGAGACTGAATTTGAAGTAAAGATACAATTTCATATTACTATTGCATTATTGCTTATTCCACATTTGCTATTTTTAATTCTTTTATACCATTAGGGGCTGAAATAAATATATTTTTGAATAGAAATTGCGATAATTTCATATAAACAAAACGTGTTAGTGTATAATTATAATGTAAGATTATTGCTTTGACAGCATACTTTAAATCTAAAAATCTATAATAATAAAATGAAGAGTTTGTTCCTTTCATAACGCCTTAACGCGAGTGTTTTAAGGTCTTAAAATTTGGACAGCAGGTAAAAGGTGGAATTTTAGCCTGCAATCCAAAAAAATGGTTCAAAAATTTCAACTGAATCGTTCGGAAGAGTTATCTGAAAAATGAATTTCCTCATGGGTTTAGCAATAGCCATTGTCATAAATAAAACTGTAGGCAATTCTTTTTTTTTCTTCTTCAAATGCTTAAAATAAAAACATCAGTGATTTTTGCTAGCTATTAGATGAAAAAAAAAAAAGAATCTATTGCACGTTTCTTAATGCTTAATTATTTCCTTTCGTTATATCAGGTAAGTTCAATGATAAACGTGTATGGTATGTGACGTCACCGAAAAAGTATTTCTAAAGTTATCTGAAACCATGTGTTTGTTTTGTTTACAATTACGACAGTAATGCTTAATTAATTTCGTAAACTAGTTCCAACAGTTTTGTGGTAATAAGTACTGCATTAAAATATACCAAATTTATTAACATAGGTATCGAGGTAATACACTTTATGGTATCTGAGAGAGAATATAAGGATCAGAAAAAAATTACTCGATTGTGGTAAATTTCAAGCATCATGAGTTGGCCATTAGCAATAACGTCAAATGATCCAGAATAGAGTTAATCTTTATTTTTATTCGATGAACTTCTAGATAACTGTTTTTCTCAATCTAATATTGTAAAGCCACCGAGAAGCGCAACAAAAAATAATAATAACTATAATTGAGCATGATTTCGTAGTATTGATTAATGTTAGTTTATTGATAATTTACTTTTCGCCCCTTAAGGTGAACGTATATTAAGCTCGTTAACATTAAAACAAACAAGAAATAAAATAATTATAAGTAACTCTGAATCACAATTTTTAGTATAAGATCGAGTATTTAATTTAAATTATATCATTTATGTATGAAGTTGGAATTCCATTTAATAAATATAAATATGGTATATATTTTTTAGGAGAGATGGCAGCACCACATGTTTCTTATCCCTATTTAAAATGATTTCAAAGTTTCATGAAAAGCTTTATTAAAGTACGAATTCAAGATTTAATGCGAAGATTAGCATTAATTTCCTCATATATTATTCAAAATAAATTTAAAAAAATACCTACAACATTAAAATGTAAATGAAAAATAGCAAACAAATTTAAAATAAAATTATTTCACAGAAAATTCAATGATGCATGGATACATATATATAGAGAGAACATCATTATATTTAGGCCTCATAATTTTTTTTTTGCAAGCTATCTATTTAAAAGTAATTTAAAAATAAAATATAGAAATTTATTCTTCAAAAATCTTCTTCACGTTTATTTTCATATTTTTTTGAAATGGGAAGTTCATTTTAAAGGAATAATGTAACATATTTTTAGTAAAAAGATTGTTATATTTATTTATTTATATCTCATTAATTCTGAACAGTTCATTTTCGCGGAGAGCAAATTTTTAGAACATTTTCAAAAGAATAATGATTTTAATAGTGGATGATATTTTAATACCGCATGTTTTCATCTACTGAATCTTATATGGTGCTGCCACCTATGATTTATAAATAAATCTATAAAGTAACTCACTTCTTTGGCTCTTTCCAAGGCATCGGACGGTGGGCACTTGATGGGACTGTAGGAACGAGTATTAATTCTATCATATAACTGTAAAAGAAATGAAATAAAAATTAGTTGCACATACGTTAAAATATTTAAATTATTTTGAAGATATCAAAAAACAAAATATAAAAGATATGGAAAACATTAAAACAAAATGTTACATGAAATCACATTTTATTTTTGAACTTGAAAGTTTATTTCTCCTTTTCTTTTGAGTATGTACTAAAGGTATCTCTGCTATTAACTACAGGAATAACTATTAAATTTTTTGCCTTTATCAAATATAACCATTTTATAGAACTTATTCGCAATTAGATATTGATTTTGCTAAACATTTTAATTCAAATAAAAAGTAAAATTCCACAATAATAATAATAATAAGAAGAAGAAGAAAAAATTAAATAAAATAAAAAATAAATAAATAAAAATTTAATAAATAACAATGAAAAACAGATCGGTTTTTTAAATTTAATATTGTATGGCTACTAATATTAATAACAAATAAATAACGATGATACAAATACATAATTAAATTGTTAAAACATCTGAAAACAGGTAATGACTTATTTATTTTACATTAAGAGTAAATAGAAATCACGGATTCGAAAGCAATCTTATATTACCTAAAAATGTCACTTCGGCATCCGTATTTTAGTAAAAAATAATCAAATATTAAATAAAATAGTTTTAAGTCGAAGATTTTGCTGTGTAAACTGTAATTCTTATCTTAAGCGTTTCATGCAATAATAATAATTTCCCCCCTCGAATCTTTAATAGTGTTTATACTTATTGATGCAATAAATAGGAAAAAGACTTTTAAAATCTTGAAAATGAATAATTCTTTTTCAATTTTTTTGTGTTTAGAAACCTAAAACTCTAATGTTTTATATCAACAATTCAAATACAAGAAACTTTATAAAGATACAAAACATATTTTTGAATATTTAGTTGGATAATAATATTAAACGTTAATAATAAATATTATTTGTTTATTATTAAATGGATGAATAAATATAAATATTAATAATAAAATAATTAAAAACATATACGTTAATAACTTAAAAAATAACAATTTATTAGATGATATGAACTTTGCACGACAATTTTATTTATAAAAAATCTCTTTTTTTATGATGAAATGTATGACAAATTTTTAAAAAAATATTTCAAGTTTTTAAAGCTTTTGATCATAAAAAAAATTCTAGAATAAATGTTACACGGAATGATTAAGAACTAAAAAAATTAAGATCAACGTAGAGTTTACAACTCCTTATTTTATTACGTAATGTACTTTACACGACAAATTTTTCAAAAACTAGCTTTAATTTTTAAAATTTTTTATCATAAAAAAGTTCGAGAATAAATGTAACACGGAATGATTAACAACTAAAATAATAACGATCAACGTAGAGCTCATAATACAAAATATAATATAATAATGATAACCCTTTTTTGATGACGTAATAATGCATGACAACTTTTTCAAAAAATAATTTCAGTTTTCAAAATTTTTCATTATAAAAAAGTTTGAGAATAAATGATAAACGAAATGATTGACAACTGAAAAAAAAAAAAAAAAAAAAAAAAAAAAAAAAANCAACTTAAAGCTTTTAATAACTCCTTATTTTCATGACCATTCATAGATACGGTTTTATTTAAATTTATTTTTGGTGCTGTCTCAATTTCAGAGTTGTTTATTATATTTACGAGAGAAAAAAGCAACACTTATATTGAGTATTGCTTTCTGCTGAAAACTGTGACTTCGTCTGTCATTTCCTATTCTAAATAATAACTAGAAAGGTTAACAGTTTCATTCACTAACTCTCCGTTAAAGAGATATAGAATAGTTTAACTGATAATGGAAAGGTTGAAGAATTTCTAAAACCACGGAAACACGACCCTATTGGAGTGTGGAAACAAACGAGGAAATCGAATGCCTTTCGCTTCCGTGTATCCGAAAGCAGTGATTCAAATCAACTTTCATTTACTGCAAGAGCTGATTTCAATTACTGTTAGCGTCTGTCTCATTTAGAAACAATTCATTTGTACCTAGAATAGAAAACTTATTACAGAAATGGAGCTATTGTAAGACTTAATTGGACATGTTATTTACGTCTGAGCAGAATGTGACTTACTAAAACGTTACATATGAAGTACAAACGGTATGAGATTAATTTAGTTTATTAGATTTCACATGGGTTGCTTAGAAATGAAAATAATTAGCTACATATCGGTTGCATTCCTGCATAAAACTGAGCTTTTCTTCTCGGACTATTTAAATAAGAATCATAAATAAATAAATGCTGTAACATTGAGGAGTGATTGTAACAGAAAGAAGAAAATCCTACAACTTGGTGGGCAAAAAAACTGATATTATTTTATATTCTAGTGGGCTGCGCCACCTGCTCGCTAACGCTCGCCAACCCCCGAAAATTGCTACGCAATCTTATATGGTTCGCTTCGCAAACCAAGCTCACTTCGCTCGCTACTAACTTAGGTACATTGCAAATGCACAAAATTCTAAGAATTCAAAACAATCATTCAAATCCATATAACAACTTTTTTTAAAAAAAGAAATTACATCTTTTTAGTAAATACTAAGTCATTAAAATAAATTTGAATTCATATAAATGAAATGTAATTCGTTAAACCTATTAGAAATGTGCTATAGTATAAAATCTTAAAGCGTAACAGCACGACTGAGACTCATTTTTCAATGAATAACTAATAACAATAATAAAACAAATAAATTCGTGATATAAATCAAAAATCGTCAAATAAATTCGTAGTATATAAATTCGTGAAAAAAAGCGCTTTCGACAAAATACTAAAATAGAGATCTAT